TGGATTACCAACATAAGAAATAGCAATTAATGTTTGGTTACATTACAGCGTTATAAATTTACATGATTAACTGCTCTTATAATTATAGGCAATCACAGCATGCGTTGTGCTACAAATGTTAAAAAAATTGAGAAAAATATGTTCTTAAATAAAAAATAATAAATAATGATAAAATAATAAAAGTTAATTGTGTAACTGAAGTTTAACGTACGTCAACATGCTTTAGTTTGGCAATAAATTGAGCAAGGGTATCATGGTGAACGTCGAGGTCGGGTTCATTTTTGGTGAGCTTGTTGTCGGATATACGGATTACTGGGGAGTCGCGACCTAAGTTGGTTCTACAAAATTTGATCTTAAAAAGGCTACACGGATATCTTGGTATTCTGCATAGTACGTTAAATTGAAATTTGGACAATAACGGGACACAGTCAATGTGATTGTTTATGATCTTACTTATGTAGGAGTGACATGTCTAAGTGATTTCGGCGTAGGGAAAGGGGTTCCTGTTGAAAATGCTTAATTTTTTCATGATGGGTTTTGACATTTCTTGGAGTACCAAAACGGTAAGTTAAACTACGAATTACTTTTTTCTGAATTTTCTCGACCCTCTCTATGTGAGTTTTAGTGGGGCACCATACTGTGCTGCAATACTCAAGCTTGCTTCTTAAAAAACTGTTGTAAAGCTTAATGACAGTGGCTGGCTTTTTAAAATCCTTTGTGTTTCTCAATATGAAGCGAAGCGACCTATTTGCTTCCGCCACTATCTTGTTAATATAATCCGCAAACTTCAGATGACCATCCATTATAACACCAAGATCTCGAATAGTGATCACTTCTTCCAACTTTGTGCCTGCTATTGTGTATATCGATTCAAATTTATTACGTTTTCTGCTGTACTTAATATGATGGCATTTTGTAGCATTGAAAAACCTTTTATTGTTGTTGCACCATTCGTGAAGATTATTAATGTCTTCCTGGAGGTGTTGCGCATCTGAAGCCGTTGAAACTGTTTTCGTAATTTTAAGATCGTCAGCAAAAAGATATACATCACTATGGTTTATCACACGTGTTATGTCATTGACAAAAATGTTAAAAAATAACGGACCCAAAATCGAGCCTTGGGGAACTCCCGAAAATGCTTCAAATAGCCCAGATTGTTTGCCATCAATTACCGCCCTAGAAAAGCGATTTGAAAGGTAAGATTTACACCACTCCAGTAGGTTATCTGTAATTCCAAATAAATATAATTTATTAATCAGGATGCTATGATTTACTTTGTCAAAAGCTTTCGAAAAATCTGTATAGATGGCGTCAACTTGTAAGCCTTGATCTACTTTTTCTTTTAAATCTGAAGTGAAAAGAATAAGATTAGTGTTGGTCGACCTCCTTGACATAAAACCATGCTGATTTTCGTTGATGTATTTTTGAGTATGCCGATAAATTACAGAGTGAACTAATGATTCAAATACTTTTGGTATTGCTGATAAGATAGAAATCGGACGATAGTTAACTACTAAGTCTTTTGCTCCATTCTTAAATATAGGGACTACTCTTGCTAGTTTCCATTCATTGGGGAATATGCCCATTTTGAGAGATCGATTGTATAGAAAAGTTAGTGGAAAAGTCAACGCATCTGCACAGTTTAAAATAAAAGTAGTGGGTGTATATTATCTGGGCCTACTCCCTTTGTGATATCTAGCTTTTTCAGTTTATTTTTGACATCTTCTGGTCTAAATTGAATTTTCCCGATAACATCAAAGGAATTGGGTATTAGTCCAGTGTACATATTATTTTTTGAATTGTTATCATTAAGATCTCTTTCATATGTTGAAGAAAAATGAGACGCAAACTTTATTATAGCACTCCTTTATTAGCATTTTACAGTTTTGTCTTAAACATTCAAATTCTATTTGATCTAGTGGATTTTTATACTTTTTTATTTTTTTATGGTATCTATATTTTTGTCTTAAAAGTTTGATTAAATGGGATGAGTACCACACAGGATAAGGCCCATGGTCGGCTTTAGTCATAGGAATATGCTTTTCAATAGCATAGTTTAGCAGTTCATAGAATCTTTTTACCATTTCATTGAGATTATTACAAGAACTAAATTCATTCTCCCATGACACCGATTCCAGGTAAGTATTTATAGCTCTATAGTTACCTTTATAAAAATTACACGTTTGGTAAGATGTACTTTTCTATTACTTTCTAATAAGATTTTCATTTTAATTACAAGAGGATGAAACTTGTCAATATTTCTTACTGGATCTTGTGTTTCGACAATATTCAAGACTTCTTTATTGCAAAGTATCAAATCTAATATACGATTTTTTATGTTTTTTACATAGTTAAATTGATTTAAGTTATTGAGATTTATAAAATCAACAAATTTACATAAGAGCTCATTATTACCGAACCCTGATGGTAACATATGATTAAAGATGTGGTTTCTATGATTGCATAGCCAAGTTATTCCACTCAAATTGAAATCACCGGCAATGAGTATGCTTTCTCTATCAGTTCGAGAACCAAGTATACCACTTGCTTTATCTATAAAAATATCTAAAGTATCTTTAATGACTGGAGGTGGTAAATACACAGCGCATAGTAGTATTGTATATGGATTTTTGGTAGAGTTAGATGTAACCGACACCCAAATATCTTCACAATCAGTTTCCCACTCTACGATACGCCTTGACATGAGTCGTTCGGATACAGCAATAAGCACGCCCCCACCTTTTTTAGCCCTGATAGAGGAGAGGTTTCACGATCTCCTCTGTACACTGCATAGCGTCTGGCAAAGATTTCAGTGTCATAGCAACTGTTATTAAGCCACGTTTCTGTGAATATATAAACATCGTATTTATTATTAATAATATGTAATATGTAATATTTCCGTCAATTAGGGCAAAAACAGGGAGTACCCGTCAATGTTGACGAAACCCTTCTCTTCTCTCTTCTCAAAGAGACCCCCATTGCCCTTCAATGTAACCTTCCGCCCGTCATCGCGACATTCTTAGCGGAGGATGACTCCGAAGATATGAAGCACTCGGACACCTTGTCTGAAACTTCGTCCACCCGTAAGAGGTCCGCTCCAACGTCGATCTCCTCACCCAGTAGCTGCTCCTCGAACTCATCACAGTCCGATCAATCAGTTATTGATACAACCCCCTCTACGGAAGTGAAATCCAAGCGCGGCTCGAAACGCGCTGCGATCTCTCGCGCACCTCCCGCACCCCCCGTGCCTGCTCGCTCCACCGCAGCCCCCGCGCCAGCTCACTCCACCGCAGCCCCCGCGCCTGCTCGCTCCACCGCAGCCCCCGCGCCTGCTCGCTCCACCGCAGCCCCCGTCGCCGCCACAAAGAAACAGGTCCCGCCCCTGTCTTCCTCAGGGACAAGGCGCAATTTACTAGACTTTCTAAAGTCTGTTACGACGCAGGCTTTAAATATGACCAAGCCACCAACCTTGGTGAGTCAATTAAAATCGTTCCGCAGTCTATGGAAGACTAGAAACATCACCAAACTATTCACATCCGAAGGTGTGCCCTATCACACCTACTCTCTCCCTGAAGATCGTAAAGTCAGGGCTGTCCTCCGCGGAGTTCCCTTTGAACTCGCCAACGAGGAAATCCTGGAGGACCTTAAGTCCCAGGGATTCCCAGTTGAGGCTGTGCACAAGATGCACAGCAGTAGGGGCAAGAGGTACTCGCTTGCCCTCCTCATTTTGTCCAACGTGCCGGAGGCGAAAGACATATTCCGACAGGTACACACTGTGTGCGGCCTGTCGAGAGTTAAAGTCGAAGACCCCTATAGGCGCGGTTTTCCAGCGCAGTGCCACCGCTGCCAACTCTACGGGCATGCGGCGGCCAACTGCTCAGCCCCTCCCAGGTGCGTTAAGTGCCTAGACCCGTACAGCTCGAAAGAGTGTCCTCGGCCACGTGATACCGAGTACCCACCCGCTTGCATCCTTTGCGGACAGACCGGCCTTACGGCCAACTTCAGAGGCTGCCCTCGCGCGCCTCGCCACAATCTCGGCAACAAAGCTACCAAAAAAGCTCCGCCACCGGTCAATGAACGTACAATCCCGGCTCTCCCATCCAAAAAAAACCCCTTCAGGGCAACTTCCAGTCACCTCAGGACCTATATCAGCCCCTTAGGAACCCTATAGGCCACCTCACCTTCGCCCACTAGGGCCCCGATATCAGGCAGAACCCTCCTACGCCGATAACGTTGATACAGTATACACTGCTATCCGCAATATCGACGTAAGAGAGATCGCAATTTTAGCACGCAAACTGCGCGCTTCTCAGTCCCCTCAAGACCGTCTGCTCGCGCTTACCGAGCACCAACACCTTCTAAACCCAATATAAGTAGTCATCCCATTCGTAAGCTGCCTTAATTAGGCAGCAACTCTTCCCAGTGGCTACTCGCCGCTAGCGCCCCCCTTTCACCCAAGGGTCGCGTTCAAAGGGGTCGCGTTCGATACGGCTTAGAGATCTAGTTAGACTATTAAGCCAGTCCCTAAAAGGTGGGGTTTAGTGGGTAAAAGTCTCCACATAACCACGCAGCCGGCTGTGTGGTATGTTATGAGCATTCCCCACCTCCCTCCCCCGCTTTCCGGAGGGTTGCCAATATTTGCTTCGGGCGCAAAAAAAATAGACACTAGGGAGTAACTGTGTTCTGTGATGGAGATCAATGGATAGACTAAAGAAAGAAGCAATCTTATCATATTTAGGTACTGTACATTTCATCTTGTTAATGTTGTTATTTTTGTAGTGTTTGCCGTCAAAATCTTGACAAACTTAACTATCAACCACTTAATTATTATTTATTTGTGACTACTGACTACATTTTATGAAATTTTTAATCATTGTAAATCACATACAGCATACACAGATTAAATATAATCATAGACATTTCATACGTGTGTTGCCATTGAAAATAATGTAAAATGGCGACTAGCGGAAGTCTATGTTTTATGTCGTTCTTTTGATATTTTGTCACACGTGCCGCGTGGAGTTTTACCTCGCAGGTTGTTAAAAATTTATTATTTTACTACAATTTTGTGTAAAATATTTACTTAAAGATTAAGGAAATGGAACTGAGTATTCAAAATATTATAATTTACTTGTGCTTTTGTGATATGTGCAAAAATAGTGGTCCGTTTTATGTGTTAGCCGCACGGCAAGGTTGATTTTCCACGTTTTGGCAAATACAATTATAACAATAAGATTATTTTCGAGTTAATTGATATGGTTGAAGTCTGTTCTTCTGTTTTTAAAAATATTAACCTCTTTCGAGAGTCGTAACAATAACCTATAAATATAGACAGATGAAAGAACGAAAGAATGGGGTGTACGTGTAGTGTGGGTTTACTGGTCATAAACATTCAGTTCCCTTTTCTGTTTTAATTTTTCCTACACTCTTAGAAATATTTTTTTTTAGAAAATAATGCAATAATACCCTAAGTAACATTACTTTTATTCATAATATAAGCGCTAACAGCCATAACCTCAAACACTACAGATATTATTAAAATGTGCTGTTTCATAAACGCCCGATTTATGAAACAGATTTTAGACATGACAGGATAAACTTACTACTTCTGTAATAATACAAAATTCTTTAAAAGTAAATAAAAAGTATTTAAATACACAAAGCTACATACATTACCTATCTTAATTTATATTTATTAAATGTACTAAAATTGTTAATAACTTCCACTCAATGTTGGATCATCATTAAAGCTCTTCAGAAGTTCATTACTTAACATAAGCCTCCCCCAGGAATGGTATAAAGCATGGTTCTGAACCATCTACATCCATTGACTTTTTGCATGTCCTATCTCTCTAATATTGAAAATATTTCAGTCTAATTCAGCAGGAAAAATTGTATGTAGTTATAAAGATAATCTAACATCCTTTCCAATTCCTTTTATTTTAGCACAATGGTTGCGGTAACGAAAGAGAAGACTGAAAAGAAGCCTGTGAAAGGCAAGGAGGACAGTAAAAAACTACCAGCTGTACCTGAGTCAGTTTTAAAACACCGCAAGAGGAGGGATGCACTTCGCACTCGCCGCATTCAAGTAATTACAAATAACTTTTTTAATTTGTGTTAATAATTCAAATTAAAGGGGAGGGAAAGTGTGGCTGAAGCCTTCATAAGGCGGATAACAAAAACAAACGAACTTTAGTTGTAGGTAAAATAGGTTAACCAAAAATATGAAATATGTATATAGGGTGGTGTGCCAAGTTACACTGGAAGGGGTAAAATTGAAAGTAATTGGAATGTAAAAACTTTTTTTATGTCTAATTAAAATATTGCGTACTGCCTTGTTGCCCATGTGACTAATACTGTAAACACCCCTTAATACTAGTAAGATTTTAGGTACTAACTTGAATAGTGTCTAAGATTTAATGTATGAAAATATTATGCTATCATAACAGTGTAAAAAATTATTTATTCAATGTGTATTAAAAGATGGTGCTCATTACCTATGCTATTGAGCAATCAGTGGGATTCCATGGTAGATATCCACCAATCTAGACCTCCAGATCACCATACAAATAATATTTAATATTAAACTGTTATCTATTACAGCCTATAAAAGTTTACTGCTTAAGATAAGCCTACACCATAGCTTGTCTCATATTGAGTATTTTGCCATGGTTGGCAGACAGGTTAGGAACTACAGTTTCTCAATTATTTTGAGTTGCATTCAGAAAGATGCTATATTGCCCACCTCCTGCTTCACTTTTGCTCTGAAGCCTCTAATCCTGTGGGATGAAATAGAGTAAAATGGAGTTTATATTTTTACACCTTCACTATATGGTTTACACCACTAAACTGTAATTATTTACTATAAGTTTAACCTAATTCTTTAATCCTTGCTTTGGTTATTCCTCTCCTATATCTTGATGTTGGTTTTGTATTGTGTTGACCGTAATTAAGTATAATGTCTACTACATAAAAAAGTATGAATGAGGAAAGACTGACAAAGCAAATATATGTTGCAGAAGTGAATGGAAGAGTCAGAAAGGGACGTCCTAGGCCAAAGTTTGTTGACCAAATTGGTGATATATTAAAAATTGGCCAAATAAAGAGTACCCTTAACCGACGAGCATGTATGCGTAGGTATATGGATGTGTAAAAGGCGAGAGAGGTATGTCAGGATCGTGCTAAATGGAATTCTGTAGTCTCTGCTTACCCCTCTGGGTGACAGGTGTGTGTTTATGTATGTATGTACATAATATACCTACTTTCTTACTGAGAAGCCTCAAGACAGGATGCTATAGAACTAAGATCAGACATCGGCATAATTGTTTTGACCTAACCACAGTAGCAAAGGTCATATTGAAGGAAAAATTCCATACAAATAAATGGTTTTACTTGAAATAAGGCATTTATTTCTTATAAACATTCATTATATATGATGAAACTAAAAAATGGCATAGTTCATCTGATTATGATGCTGTTAATTTAATTATCTGATTTGTTTGATCACATTTTTTGTAATATCTGTTTTAGTATTAGTGCATAATGTATATATATCTATTGTTCAGGTCACACTCAAGAGGCGTTCTGCAGCGATCAAGAAGAAGCAACTTATCTTTAAGAGAGCAGAGCAGTACGTCAAGGAATACCGTATCAGGGAGCGTGATGAGATTAGGTTAGCCAGACAAGTAAGTATTACCTAATAAGTTCAAAATTTCTTTTTTAATTTTGTAAAATAATAATTCTCAAGCTTTCTACTCCATTCACATGTTACACGCTATTTTAATTTTTTTGTAAGACAGGTCATCCAGTATATTTCAGTTTTAAGTACAGTGTTAGTACCAAAACAACAATTATAATATAACTTTTAGATTTAATTATAATTAATGTAAAAGAGTAAAAAGCCTACATATTTTTATATGTCCCATTGTCGAGTATAGTCCACCTTTCATATCCGAGAGGATACCTTTATTTTATCATATTTGATGTTTTCAAGTAACTATACTTACTTTAAAATATACCGGGTGCTTCAAAAAAATGTATACACACTTTGAACTTCCATAGAAAATTTATTTACCGTTCTACAAAGTTAAATTTCAGGAAAATAGAAAGCTGAAAGTCCAATGTAAATGAAACATAAATAACAAATGTTAATACTGTTCAAATTGGTGACCTGCATCATCAATACAATTCTGAGTACGAGCCACCACAGATTCTGTACATCGTATCAAAACGTCCAATGAGATTTCTCTACACACTGCTTGAATCTCGTTCCAAAGAATGTCTAGGTTACGTGGTTTACGTTTGTACACCTCATCTTTTACTGTGCCCCACAAGAAGAAATCCAGTGGTGTAAGGTCTGGAGAGCGTGCTGGAAACTCGATTGGCCCCCTGCGTCCTATCCACTGGCCCGACAAATTTTGATCCAGGTAAGCTCGTACGTCCCTGTGAGAGTGCGGCGGAGCACCATCTTGTTGAAAATAAAAATCATCATTACCGTATAATGCACGAATGGCAGGAAATATGGAATCAGCAAGCATTGTTAGGTAATTAATACCAGTTACAGTGCCTCAAATCGAAAAGGTCCAATGAGTCCCCTTGAAGACAAACCGCACCACACATTTATACCAGGCAAATTTACAGCTTTTTCAATTGTAATGTGAGGATTTTCTTCACCCCAGTAAACACAATTGTGCCTATTGACAGTTCCATTAAGTTTGAATTGGGCTTCATCCGACCAAATGATGCTACCCATAAATCCCGGTTCACGTATCCCGTATCACGTAATAACCTGCTTACGTTCTTCAAAACTCAAACGTACGTCCCCCATGTTGATATTACAAATTCCAACTGATAATATAACATAGAGGGACTATTATGCTGGCACCTGGCGAAGAAATATAACATTAGCCTTGTAGAGCGGAAAAACTACAATAGTTTAAAGTGTGTATACATTTTTTTGAAGCACTCTGTATATGATGATAATTATGTCGAAGAGACGGGTATCTGACATATTCCAGTACAATTGGCAGACTTAAAATATCTAAAATATTTTTAAATGTTAAAATATCTTAGACATCTTAAGTCTGCCAACTGTCTGTTAATAATGAAAGCCAAAGATCAAAGTTTGCTTGCATTATAAAAAACTTAAGATTATCATTGTCAGTTTTCATTGACAGCATCCACGTACCATCAGGGGACTGTGTGCTTATTTGTAAAAAATAATATACTAGTTATTATTAATAACTAATATCATTTCAATCTTTATTCTATAAAAAAAATATATAAAATACTTTATATTTTTTTATTATTATTTATTATATTAACACCTGTAGCAATTCATAACAGTCTATTGTGGTCCACTAGTGAACATAAGCCCCTCCCATAGATTGCGTCATATATTTGCCATAGTTTCACACTAGGCAGGTGGTTTGGCAACTGTAGTTTTTTATTCAGCTTGTATCGGAAAGATGTGGTCCTATTTCCTGTTATAGTTACCCTCTGTCGCCTCTTATAACACCCACGGGATGATATGGGGTAGAGGATATTTTTGCACTATACTGTAATAAACAAAACACTACATGTTGATATTCTTTGGTATATAGATTAGTCACATTTCCATGCAATATTTTTTCTTTACAAATATATAGTTCTTTCTTGCAAGGAAAAACTTGTGATGAATTTTATTATATTGATTGGTTTTGTGTTGCTTTACAGGTAAGGACTATAAAAATTATCACTACTACTTTCCACATTTATACTTTAAAACATTACAAAAGCTCCTACGTGGTAAAGCCATGCTGCAGTTATATTAGTAGTATAGCCGTAGCATGAATGGGTCGGCTCAACCGGGGAAGGACCACGCTCTCACAGAATACCAGTGTCAAATGGTAGCTTAATGCTCCTGTATTTCGTATGGTGAGTGTAGAACCGGAGACCCTATTTTGTTGAAAACTAGGCATTCTATCTCAGTCCTCACGGGTGACAATGCATCTGCATTTTGAATCGCATACGAGGTAAGATGTAGATGTCTATGGGCCACAGCAACCACTTACCATCAGGTGGACTGTATGCTCATTTGTCACCCTATCCTATAAAAAAAGTTATATTATGTATTGGGCATTTTATTTATCACTTTGTTTGTATTTTAGGCCCGCAACCGTGGTAACTATTATGTTCCTGGTGAAGCTAAGCTTGCCTTTGTCATCCGTATTCGTGGTATCAACCAGGTTTCACCCAAGGTAACTTTTGTTTATTATTCACTCCTCTCTTGTTTGTCAGCTTACAAAAGTATTTATTTTTACTAACTTTGTATGATGACTAAAGATGTTTTATAATAAAAAAATCTTCAAAACTTTCAACAATATTATTATTTTAGGTTCGTAAAGTACTTCAGCTGTTTAGACTGCGTCAGATCAATAATGGTGTATTCGTCCGTCTCAACAAAGCCACCATTAACATGTTGCGTATTGCAGAGCCCTATATTACATGGGGTTATCCTAACTTGAAGAGCGTGCGAGAGGTAATATTTTCTTTTTTTTACCTATAATAAATAAATTTTACTATGATGAGTGATGACACCAAGATTCCCAACAACTGATTTGATCTTAGAGAGAATTTGTTGTGACTGCATTTAAAAAATGGTCAATCATAAATGTTTGAATTCACTCACCATTGCTATTCTGAAACATGGCAATCAATCTTGTAAGTTCTCATGGGTGGACAATGTATGTGCTTATTTGTCACCCTTATCCTATAAAAAAATTACTCTTATGATGTGACTATATTAAATAGATATCCCAAGTGAAAACAATTTTACTGCTTTTGATATATTTTGTTACATTCTTTTTCATCTCCAGTATCATAGTTTTGTTTTATGAGACACAGGCATTATGTGCTTACACCTAATTATGTACACAGTTTTGACTTGTGAATTAAGGCAGAGACAAACTGGTCCCAAGTACGCAACATATGCAACACATTATAACATCTGAATGCGTGATTTTATATGAAAAACTGTACATTAAAAACACATCGTATGCAACGCAATCACACGCGTCTGACGCAACGTAGATCTGCGATGTCTATATCGGAGTGGAAAGTTGGAGGGGATGTTCGTACGCAATACCACGCATATGACGACCAGTGTGTTCCTAGAACATAAGCATAGCACGTCATAAACAGACCTTTGTACCGTGCACGCATTTTGTTGTCATCATTTTATCTACTACTCATCGATTTATTAAGGCGATACAAATGTATTTATTTAAAATATTAAATGTGTAGAATATCGCGATGCTCAATTACTTTATACAGTATGGGAAGACAGATGAATGGTACACCTAGTGAGTACTTATCCACTTACCATCAGGTGCTGCTATCATTTTTGTTATTAACTTGAAAGGGAGAGGTTGAGGTGCAAGGTTAAAAAAGTAGTATTTTGTATTTCTAGCCCAGTTATGTAAAGATATGAAACATGATTTTATAAATATTGCGGAAATAAAACATATTCTACATATTCATGTATTTTGCTTTACAAATCATAAATTTTCAACACAATTAATACGTAAACATTTTCTTTGTGGCATGCATATATTCGTTTATAAATATCAGACTAAGTAAATCATTCTCAAACTCACTCAGAATCGGAAAACTTGGTATAAATTTGTACTTGTGCGTATGCCAAGCAGTGACAAGAGTGTGTCTGACGGTAAACATATGTTGCATGCATAGGCCAAGTGTATACATCAACGTAGCAGTGTTGCATTGCATGCTCTGCGTACATGGGATCAGTCTGTTTCTCCTCTTTTGTATCTGTGCTTTTCAGATGTCAATGCTAATAAATGAATATAAACCACTCAAATATTCTGTTATACATGTAATCGCGCTCCGCACGAGCCTCCCAGACTCTATGTCGGGGTAGGCCCAAGGAGCGCAGAGAAAATTGTGTGCCCCTATGGTGGCTTGCACTATGCTAAGTCAACTTTCCTAGCACTCAAACACTAACTTGCGTCATATGTCTAACATAAATATAAACTATCTTATTACAAAACGTAGTTTTTAATAAGTCTTAGGTTTGAAACTAGTCTGTTTCATGAAAGAAGTTCGTCAAACTCAGAAATACCGCGATTAAGACTTCCGTCGCGACAAATACCATTTGTGGCTTCGCATTTTTTAACCGATTTCAAAAAAAAAAGGAAAGGTGCATTAAAAAAAATGTAAAAGTAAAACCCACTGCTTGTTTCAAAATTTTATGAAACAATACTAATTCTGGCATTTTTCACAAAGCCCTGTATCTCTTGATCCCATTGAGATCTCGTGATAGAATTTTCCTGTACGTATTAAGACATTATAAACTATATTATATAATTTTTCAAAATGCCACTTTAAAAAATTGAAATTTTAAATTTTTATTTAAAAGTTGTAACCCTACCTTGTGGCATATCATGTTAAAGCTCCATTCAATAGCTTTAAAATGAGACCCTTCCCAGGTTTATATCATCATTGGTTGCCAGCCTAGGGGCTGAATTGAATGAAATGAATAGGGAATAAAATGAATTTTTTCATAAAAATACTTCAAAAATAATTGTGCTACATAACTCAAATTTTGTATTTTGTGCATAAGTCTATGATATATTGCTGCATAAAAAAATCATGAAATCTGAGACATCAATTCTGAAAATCTCCCAAAATTGTGTTGAATTGACATGGAATGACCCTGCATTTTTTGTGTTATCTCAGAATGTAATTTAACTTTTAACTAAACTTTATTTAACTTAACTAATTTAAAAATTAACTAGGTGAACTGATTTTAATGGTCCTTTTTTATTGGTTACTGGTGCTTCTCATGTGGTCCCATATAAATTTGATCAAGATCTGACCAGTGAAGAGTTACAAGTTTTGAGTTATCTTCAATAATGCATATTTAATTGACATCGACTACATTGATGATGTTCTCATCTTTTTATATATTGTAGTCGGTTGTACAAAACTTTTAATTTTACACTTGTGTGGCTTGTTATATTGAATGCACTGATAAAAATTTCACTTATCATAACGTCGATCCTATACTTAAGAAAGTACTGTTTGGGTCTATTTGTTGAGGTTCCCACTCTTACTTGACAAAATACTTTCTTTAAACCGGAGATTATCACTAAACTACGTTTTGCAATAAACCACAACCAAAAGTGTATATAATGGTGAAATGAACATAATTTCTTTTATAGCTCATCTACAAACGAGGTTTCGCCAAAGTGAAGGGCCAACGCATGCCCATCACCTCCAACAAGATTATTGAGGAGAAACTGGGCAAGAAGAGCAACATCATTTGTATTGAAGATCTTATCCATGAAATCTTCACAGTTGGTGAGGAGTTCAAGGTAGGTTTGGATTAAAAAATTACTTGACAATTGATTGCCGTGTAGTTGTCAATCCACCTGTCAAGCATATAGCATCTATGACAGACATCCCCTGACATTACATGTAAGGTAATCTATGGGAGAGGGAGGCATGTGTTCAGCAGTTACGTTCAGTTATTAATGAACTTTAGGTATTTCTTTACTAATTTTAATTTGGACAAGAGTTATACAACAAATACAATAATTAGATTTATTAAATGTCCCAATTTGCCATAATCGCCACGCTTTGCTGGCAGATTAGTGATTATAGTAACATGCTTTACCCAATTTTTTTATAGTATGTAGGCGATAAACGAGGTCACAGTCCACCTGATGGTAAGTGGATGATGTGGTCCATAGTTATCAACATCTATCATTGATTACTGTAGACCCTATTTACTGGAAAAGAGGCATTCCAGTCCATTATTTTCATTAGTCCATTTAGTCTTCAAAGGGTGCATTTTGATTTTTAATAGTGGATAGATGACAATGTGTATGGGTCACTAAATCCACTTAACACCTCTGTTTACCTGCTGCTGTTACTGTGGTGACATCCAAATGTTTTCAAGTGTGCTGACATTTAGATTTAAGCTTAAACTTCCATGTCTGACCTGTATGCTATTGGTGCTATAGATTACCTGCTGCTGTTACTGTGGTGACATCCAAATGTTTTCAAGTGTGCTGACATTTAGATTTAAGTTTAAACTTCCATGTCTGACCTGTATGCTATTGGTGCTATAGATGTCTCTTGACTAGCCATTTGCCATCAGGTGGTGCTTGTCACTAGTTTTAATTTAAAAAAAAAACTATAAATACAAAGAACTTATAACATTGAGAAAGGGACTACTGTGGGATTTGATTTTAATTTTTTGTCATTTTTACAGTACGCAAGTAACTTCCTATGGCCCTTCAAGTTAAACAATCCCACTGGGGGCTGGCGTAAGAAGACCATCCATTACGTCGACGGAGGTGACTTCGGCAACCGCGAGGACAAGATCAACGAGCTCCTCAGGAGAATGGTCTAAATAAATAGATTTTAATATTACTTATATGTTTTATTTCCCTTATTCTTAGATTCACAATAAAATAGATTATTATAATAGTTGACACAAAATTTTATGACATTGTCATTGACTAAATGTTTCCTCTCTGACCTAAGAGTAATTACATACATGTCATTTGTCGGAGCCTCTGAAGATATTAAATATTGTGCTACTGTGACGATAATATTGAGGATTCATTTTGCTGACAAAAACTGATAATCTAAAATAAAATCAAAATATTTTCGTAACACAATATTTATAATATTATAGTGCTAAAGTATAGGTATCCAAATAGGAGTTAGTCAACTTTGGTCACTGCATGATAGACTAGGGATGATTGATGTTGCAGAAACATCGATGTTGTCGCTATCTTAACATCGATGTTTAACCCTACTCAAAACATTGATGTCCGTTATCGATGTTTGCACATGCATCTATTTAGCAGGTTAAAATGAGATGAACTAAAAATTAGTAGTGTTGTTAATGGTTTATATTTAACCTTTTGAGCGCCAGTCTCCTATACTTGACCAGCACCTGCGGGCCCTGAGTGCCAATGACTGTCTATAGTTGACAAAGAACCCGGCCCACAAAAATATGAAATAGATATTGGAAAATTATTATTGGTATTTTAATTCTACACTCCTCAAAAAATAATAACCCAGCAACACCTAGAGCCACAAGTACTAAGAAACATTGAACAAAAAAAATGGATTTTTATCTAAGCAAATACTATGTCCAGCAGGTCAAAGTCGTCTGTGTTTGACCGCTTGGGTTGTAATGCGTTAGGCATAGATTTATTGAAAACTATTCGAAATTAAACGCACACGTGTTATTTTTTAAATTATTATTGATATTTGAATAAAACAAAAGTACATAAATAAAAGAAAATTTCACCAAATCAACTTCGCATAAATAAATCTAATATCCCAACTCTGGCGCATCCTTAGCGCGTCATCGATTATCAGTTGGGCGCCGTGGTCAAGGATAGACGACACCCTGATGACGTCATAAACGAATAGCGGGAAAAGTAGTGCAGTGCAACATGAACGATTCCTCAGAACTCATTCGCATTTTGGAAAGCGTCGATGATGATGAATTTTTTTTATTTTAATAATATTAAATTACAAATATTAAATGTTTATTTTTTACTTAAGAGGTATGAAGAGAAATTTTTCATTTTGTGTTGTGCGATTTTCTTTCTCAATCTCAAAATCATCTGGTAGCATCAGCATCATATCAAACCCCCATTGATTCATAAGAGCGTAAGATTTTTCTTCTGTGCTTCACATGGCCTACGCCCCCCCCCCCCCCCGCCCCCGCCACACAGAGAATATTTTGAGTCGATCTCTTTATATTTTGGTTAGATCGATTTCGAAATAGATACACGTACACATCTCTAAGAAAGTTTCAAAAAGGAAGGTCAGCTACGCCGTTGTCCAGTCGTGACAGTGACGTCAACACGATGATGAGTAGTGCTGTGATTTTCTACTCTTTTATTGTTATTGTTTGTTTTTTATTTATGTACAAAGTACATATATAAAAAGAGTGGAAGACAGCACAAGATTGAGAATAAAACATACCAGATTATAGTCATTTATTGCATTAAAAAAAATCAAGTTATTTGTGTTATCGATATATCAACTCTTGGCAACACTATTTTTTTGTAGGTACTTTTGTTTACTTTTCGCTTTGGCCAGGCCTCTATCACTATTACTACCTGCGTGAAATAATTACCTAAAATCGCGATTCACCCAGGGTGCAGGACTAGCGCGTTGTAGGCGATTGATGAATTTTAACGCTGTTTACGTGAAGTTTTTGTAAACACTTGTAGTAATTTTTGTTTAGTGTTTAGTATATTTAATTGTAGGATAAAATAGTTCAATTTTTTTTAATGTGGTTTAAAAATAATATATAATTAATTATAATGGCAAAACTTCGAACCTACTATAATTATTGCGTGGACGGATGCCTAATGAGCAAACAAAAGGATTCAGATATAATTTTTTATGTTACCTAAGGATAATGAAAGATACCTTTATTCAATTTTTTTTAATAAATATAGCAAAAAAGAATTAAGTAATCATTTAAATTCAGAAGTAATACATTAGTACTTTACTTCAAAACTTAGTTGAAATTTACTTCACTATCTAAGTAGGTATAGGCAACGCCACGAGTGAAGAAAGTGCGCAGAAGCGAAAAATAGGTGTCGGCACGGTGAAGTGTGAGGTACGGCGAAGCGAAACCATAGTAACCGGCGACGCGCTACTCCCAAGTAGTTTCCCCCTGCGTCCCGTCGCCCGCGCACCTTCTTGTGTCGTCTTGTGTACTATCGATATCGAAAGTGTTAGCGGCCACCAGTTATAAAATTTTAATTTTTTTCTATTATTTTTGTACTTTTAAAAATATTGTTCTATAATATTTTCAAATAGTGTGCTAATATTTATTACTTTATAAATTATATTGGGACTATTTAAAATAGCGTAATTCGTAGTATATTGTATAAAGTTGTAAATATTTTGTTATTTTCTACAACATGATTTTTTTGCAAATTATTGCATGTAAAATATCCTTATAATCGAAGGCTATCGCATAGTATAGTTTAAACAGCAATTACAAATACAAAAATACAAATACAAAATATTTTATTTCTTTAACCAATTGTACATAGAATACAGAATATTTTTTAGAAACAGTTAAAACCTAGATATATAAATATATCGTTCCGTTTTCGTGGAGACTTTGACTTTTGACTTTTTACATATTAAAATGCCAAAATCAAATTTTCATTTTTCTGCTTGATTGTACATGCACAGTGGACTCTTTTTAATTTCTTCTTTCGTGGCGCGACCTATAGCTTACACGTCTTTTGTAATTAAAATATTTTAAGTTATCACAAAGCACTGAAATTAAAACTTTGTTTACAAGATTTTTAACTAATTAGAATACAATCACATTTCATTTCGGAATCGTATTCGGGTTTATTTGTTGTTTACACTATCTATTACTTCTGAGCGATTTATTAAACCGCGATTCGCGACGAGTGACCTCGCAAGTTGCGTGCGTTAGGCACAGAATTCGCATAGTAGCAAAAATATGTTCATTCGATCAGTCAGAATAAGTACCTTACGTATTTTACATACCATTTCGCAACGAATTAATTAATTAATTTATAGTCTTTATTGCACACAAATTTAAAACGGCAAGTCCCCGGGCGAATATGGTATTACAGCGGAGCTTCTGAAAGCGGGTGGAACACCGGTACTTGAAGTCCTTCAGAGGCTCCTTAATTCCGTCCTCCATGGTGGCACTACTCCGGAGGCGTGGAGCAGAAGTGCGGTGGTCTTGTTCTTCAAGAAACGTGACAACGCCCGCTTGAAGAACTACAGACCGATATCTCTTCAGTAGTTAGGTTGTACCAGTTCTGGCGCACTTGTAGAAAGGTTGTACCAGTTCTGGCGCACGACGTTCGTCGACTCACAATCCTAAAAAAAAAAAGGTTTTGGCATGCTCTGATCACGAATCTGCGGTCCATTTTTGCGTAGGATGCACGGTTCCGGAGATGAGCAGATCAATTAACTCTTATCTAATTGATATCCGCTACGAGCCTCAACCGTCATTAGCGCTCCATTGTCCTTATCTACTTATCTATTGTTGATTGACTACCGTCATTATCTATTATTCGTCAGCGTGTGGGTCGGCTTATGCTATTGTATTATACTCCTTTGTTCCTATCTACAACACTAATCTGAATCATCAATAAAACACATTACCTAATTTTGTTAAAATTTTTATTTATAAAATACAAAATCTTATTACTTATTATCTATAAAATAGGAGTGAAACATCTCATCCACTAACATATCGTTGTACAATGTGTTCTCTGTAAATATACTCGTAAAACTACGCATTGAACATCCCTGAAACTTATATAGCAAATACATTAAGCAATATTCGCCACAAACTGAAGTCCTATCAACATTCCAGTTCCATCTTTTAAACACATTACCTAATTTTGTTAAAATTTTTATTTATAAAATACAAAATCTTATTACTTATTATCTATAAAATAGGAGCGAAACATCTCATCCACTAAAATATCGTTGTACAATGTGTTCTCTGTAAATATACTCGTAAAACTATGCATTGAACATCCCTGAAACTTATATAGCAAATACATTAAGCAATATTCGCCACAAACTGAAGTCCACTCATTCTGAATCCTATCAACATTCCAGTTCCATCTTTTACAATTTATTTTAAAAAACTCTAGATGATATCGTACAGGTGCCCGTCCGAATGAATCAAAATATTGACCGACGTCATTCGTATCGATATATAAAGCTACCCAATGTGACCCTGGTTTATCATCTGTATCCAAATTGCATATTATATACGTTGGTACGTGGGTGTACATGGGTAGTTTATTGTCTAGATTAGAGATTTTAGTTTTTTTAGATAAACATTATTTTCTAGAGTGGGGTGAATCTTTTTCAGATGTTGTTGTACATCTAGTGTATCCATAATATTACTGCTATTAGTAGATTATTACAGTACCAATCTACTCAATGACTAATATAGGAACGATCAATTATAGTGATATCTAAATATTAAATTGCTTTCTTTGTGTTATACAAAACGTATTTGAGTCACCATTACACTGAACAAGACACGACAGGAAGGACGTAGGAATGTAGAGATAAGCCAACAGAATGTAAGGTAAGCTTGTTGACGCATAAAGATACTATCAATTCTACTGCAGAAATTCTTTAGATTAGAATTATTACTCACTGGTACTATATAAGACCAAGCAACTGCAGTCATGGAGTTAGTGTATGGTCGTTTGACCGCAGTGGATCTATCAATACTACGTTTGTGTTACTTCAACGCATCAAAGGCCATGGATGTAAGTGTTTATTCTATTGACAAACTTACTTTTCTTTCTGTTATTTTCTTACGTGTGTATGATTTAGTGTTAACAAATT